ATGACACATTTCTAAATGCCAGGTCCCTTGAAACATATGCTGTGCAGATGTTTCTTTCCTGCAGCGACTGTGTCAAGTAGCAAGGATGGACCGGCTTCCGGCAGTGACCCTGCCATGCTTCCCAGAGAAGCTGAGCATGACAACCTCTACTAGGCTGTAGGCATCGTGGGTGCCTTTGAAGAGGCCTGGCCTGATGGGGTCCTCGGGGTGGCTCCGGGGGAGGTAGATGCGGCGGTAGTTCCGGCAGTTGTCATTCTGATGGTAGATGAGCTTCATCAGGATGAACCACAGCCTGTCCTCCTGGAAAATGTGCTCCAGCGTCTGCCCCCATTCTTCCCGCAGCTACGCACGTAAATCCTCTCAGCTCCAACCAGGTATCCTGTGGTGGTGCGTCAGGTTGCACCTGGTGGAGAACCCGTCCTTCCGAATCTGCATGTGGCAGCTGTGGGGCCCTTGGCGGCCATACGTGCACTCCACTGTGGCCGGTTTCCTCTCTGTCAGGCAAATTCTAAACACAGGCTTGAACTGCATTGAGTTATCCACCTGGGGGTCATGGAGAGGCAGGTACATCTGACCAATAATGAATAAGCTGTCCACCACTACATACAGCAGTCCTCCATAGGGCCAGAGGTTTATGTGCTGTTTCCCTTTGAGATTCCATTGCATTGGATCAGCTATGACTTTAATAAGGAATATAGAGGTTGAGCCATTAAGGAAAAGTTTGGAACTCAGTTGCAACGGTATTCAGTCAGCTCTTGAAATCTTTTTTCCCTAATTCGTAGCCCATCTTTAGGTATTTTACTTGGGGCAAACAGAATTGCCTTGTGAGAACTTCTGTCCTTTCATAGCTATTGCTATGCTCAGATTGTGGGATGGAATAGAGAAGCAGTGGGCACTGTATTCAAGCTGTGTTCATTTCATCTAGAAAAATGAACCTAAGGGTGCTTATAAAGCCTTATGCCCAATTGTCTTGGTTGCTGTACAGCATCTAATTCCGCTGTAAAGGTGGATCAATGCTGAGT